CCTCCCGCCGCGACCCGGCCCCTTCGCTGGGGCAGCACCGCCTCGTCCGTCCCGCGCCCCGGGAGGGCGGGAAGGTGGAGGAGGGACGTTACCAACCACAATTGCCTGGTGCTTGCTCTCGCCCCGGGCCTCGGAGGCAGGGCCTGCTGGACGTGGCCTCTGGGGCCGTCCAGGCCTGCGTCCGGCTTGGGGCAGGCCCGCCGTGGCTCCCTCTGTCCTGCCCCCGAGAACGGGTGAGGAGGGGAATTTACTGCGCTCCAGGCAGCCCGGTGCTGCCCTGCCCAGCGGCCGAGAACGTTACTCCGGATCCTCCCAAGTAGGTGTTCAGCCGTCTCCTCCTGCTCTGTGATCCACGCCTGGTTAACTCCCCTGCAAACAGTTGTAGCCTGCAATTAGACGCCCCTGTCCACCTCTTTACCAGCCTGTAGGTGCAGAACTCCTTCAAAACCCATCTTCACAAATGCGCGTCCCGGGCTGTTGCAGCAAGCTTCTGCTGGAGCAGGATCTCAGCATCCTGCTCCAACAGCACTCTGGTATCCCAGGTACCGCCTCACCAGCCAAGGGGATGATTATTTCTCAGGACTGGCATACCATGCTTCACTTAGTTCAGCCAGCGTATGGTTTGCTTTGTTTCTGGTAACAGATCATACAATATCCAGAAACATCCAGCGGTGAGATCTTTCTTATGGCCTTTGTTAAGGTTGCTGAAGGGTGTTTTCTGATGAAGACACAGATTTGGGCTTCCAACCTGCATAGTCTAGATCCATAAAAAGAATATTTGCCTACTCATGTGTACATGCCTACACAACAGTGAGAGACAACTTCACAATAGGGAAAAAACCTCTTTTTAATAGAAATGTCTACTCACTGTCACTTACTTCACACAGCTCACAAGACCTGTGATGAGAAGAGTTAGACTGGCAGTGAGGAGTCCAGGGTTGCCTAGATCAACAATTAGGAGATGGGGGAGGTGACATCTCACCCCATGCAAACTGTGAGGGACAGTCAGAGAAGAGCTTAACGGTCTCACCTCTCGCTGGCTTTTCCCAACTCTGTCAGGCCATGAACATGTATCTCTCATCCACCACTCCACCCCACCATCTCTGTTTTGTTCCACTGTCTTCTGGTTCTGCACCAGCAGGAAAAAATATTTTTGATTACCCTGCTGTGGACACTGGAAGTACTTCACTGCTGTTGCTGCCAGGCTGGTCTGGCAAGGTGCAGAAACTACTTCAGTGACCTTCACAAAGCTACAGTTGCACAGGCCAGCCAAAAATAGATCCACAGTACCTTGTCAGAGCAGACAGGACATGGAAAAGTACCAAGTAAACACATCATCAGTGCTGCAACCAGCACTGGCTGATCAGCAGAGCC